AAAAATTTCCCAAAAAAACAAATCTGTAATTTTCCCCCCTCCCAAATCTGTAATTTTCCCAGCCGTGCAGTGGGATATTTGTAAGCATTAAATGGTTTAACTATTTGCAATAGTAAATGATGATTGCCTTTTGTACTTTTATCCATTTTTTGGCTTTGGGTTTGGGTTCCCACGTGCAACCCTAGGGGTATTATTGGAAAGTCTTCTCCAAATTAACCCTCCCTTATTTTGGCCAAAAGTCAAAACCGGAGGTGTTTAATGGAACGGAGGGAGTATGTTTCTGCATTTAGTGGCTGTTTGTTTCAGCCTCTTAATGGTTCAGATGTCTGAATGGTTCAGCACTTAATGGTTTAGACTATTTGTTTCAGTCTCTTAATGGTTCAGATGTCTGAATGGTTCAGACATTTGCATCTGAATGGTTAAGTATTATACAAAGTCTGAATGGTTAAGACTTCTTATCTGAATTGATCAGACATTTGCCTCTGAATAGTTAAGCAATATACTGGCTCTTAATGGTTCAGACCTCTTACTAGTTCAGCACTTAATGGTTCAGACCTCTTACTGGTTCAGCACTTATCTATTCAAAAGTTTCCAAACAGCCTCTTAGCCTTTGTTTGGATGCAGAGAGAAAATGATGGTGAGAAAATGATGTGAAAAAAATTAATGTTTGGATTGATAGAAAATAATAAGAAAATGGTGAGAAAAGAGAAAAAAGTAGAAGAAAAGGAAATTAACACAACCTTTCGATGATGAGAAAAAGGGAGGAAAGAAAATTGATGGTGAGAAAAGAAGCATTTTTACTTGTTTGGTTGGATGAGAAAATGAGTAAGAAGAGAAAAAACAAAAATGCTAGGGGTACACCATTTCTTGTACCCCAAACAATAATTTTTTCACATCATGTTCAGATCATTTTCTTTCCTATTATTTTCTTTCCTCTCATTTTCTCTCCTCATCCAAACAAAGATTAATGGGAGAAGAAAGCTTTGTACGTGTTTTTTCACCACGGCGGATGAGAAAACTTTTTAAGTGGAATCCACAATTTTTTCTCTGTTCTTACTCATTTTCTCTTCCAACAGAACAATTAAAAATGTTTTTTTCTCACCATCGATTTTCTTTCCTCCCTTTTCTCATCATCCAAACGGTGTGTTAAGGTGTATGGTAGATCCCAAGAGTTATGCGGCGGTTTGATTCCATTACCTGGCAGGCTTGAGTTATGGATCGCTCAGCAAATTCAACTAGCCAGTTAAATTATAAATAAATAAAACTAAACAGTGCCATTTAACGTCGGCGCATCTAGTGTAGTGGTATCATAGTACCCTCCCACGGTACTGACCGGGGTTCGATTCCCCGGATGCGCATTCTCAACTTTTTTTGCTCTTCCCATTTATTTCTTTAATTGGAATAGTACAGAGTACATATAGATTTTTTTTTTTGTATTAATTCCATCTCTAAATTAAAATTCATAATTTGATCTCATGAAATTTATAATAAAAGCATGAAAGTGAAAAATATGTTAAGAATTTCTCTAGTTCATATTCTTTACACATGTTTGATTCTTTCGTATGACATAATTTTGCAATGATCTGTATATTTGTCCCAAGTTTGTAACTTTAGTTCTTTATTATTTGAATGCAAATAATAATTTACTCCCAAATATGTTAGGGACTATAATATTAATAAAAATCTTTCATATGACATAATTTTGCATGAAATGTATATTTATCTCAACTTGGTAACTTTAGTTCTTTATTATTTGAATGAAACTATTTTTTTAAAAGAGAGAAGTAAATTTTAGGAACGAGAATGTGTTGTTCTGTATCCAAAACATACCAAAGGACCTATACATTTATATGCAAATTTCAACCAGACAAATCTTTTGGAATAAATTAACACGACTGTTTGCGATCCATTCAAAAATGTGTCCCATACAATCACATGTACACAATGGTTTTACGCGAATCACATGGAGAAATGTTCAAATGTTTAAGTTTATATTCTAATGAACCTTATTTTGGCTCTTGGTCAAGGAAGACGAAAGAATGGTATTGAGTTACTCAATTTCCTCGGTCTTTTGTCATCGAAACGTTTTTTATAAGAATAATTTTTTATTGGACGCATGCGTTTATTGGGAAGGGATGACAAGATGTTCTGGGCTGGAACTGGTCATACTCCCTCCCTCCTGTAATTATCTTCGTACTATTCTATTTAGATGGTCTTAGACTTTTCTTTCATTTTTTGTTTAAAGAAAAAATCATGTGATTCATATCATTTCTCTTTTTCCTCTACACAAAACACATTATAATTTTTTAAAATCGTGTCAAGTCAAACAAAAAAGAAAATTAAATTATGGGATGAAAAAAGTATTTTTTTATGTTCTTCACGATTGTAAGCGTCTCTACACCTTTTCCATTGGCTGATGCTTTCTCATTCTGATGAAGGGATAGGAGAATGAGTTGAGTCGGCCTAAATTGTGTACATATTATTATCATGGTGATTTAATTTATTACTCACTATATGATTTTTTTAATGAGTAAAAAAATTGTGGAATGAGTATTAAGATAAAGACAGTACAAACATTGGTTTAAAATGAGACACACAACAATACAATTTGAACTTATAGCCAAGACTTGTCCAAGACTCCAAGAGTTATGGGGGGATTCAATTCCAATTTCCACCAGCACTGAATTTGGATTGCCCAAAGCAAGAGTCCGTACATGGTAAATATATTTAATTTGAGAAGAACATCACAAAATAACATCAGCGCATCTAGTGTAGTGGTATCATAGTACCCTCCCACGGTACTGACCGGGGTTCGATTCCCCGGATGCGCAACTTTTTTTTAAACCTCTTTTACGGAAAGGTAAAATCACCTTGTATAAATTTAACCCAAAGGATGCAAATATTGTTGTTTTCAGGATTGAATATGCTATAAATCCCTATAAAATCAAACAATTTTTCAAAGTTTATACTCTGTAAATTTAATTTTTGTTTAAAAAATCCCTATAATATTGTTGTTTTAATTTTTTTTGCAAATAATCCCCTCTATTGGTGAAAATAAAAAAGCTAAGATTTATAGTATTCTCTCCTCATCATGTGAAAATATTTTTTTCTCTATTATATTTAGCCTATTTTTTTGAAAAATTATTTCTTTTAAATACTCTTTTTTGTCTCAAACAAAGGCTCTTAGTTTGACTTGGCATAAAATTTAGAAAAAGTAAAAATTTGTGGTTGAAAATAATGTAGAGAAAAGAGAAAGATTGTGAGCCATTCAAATTTTCTAAAAAAAGAAATGGGAGACTTTTTTTAGACATTCTAAAAATAAAAAAATTATTTTCTTTTCCTTTCGAACCAAACAAAAAAAAATCCCTTTTATTTTCCTCTCGAATTCCTTGAATTAAACATAGTATAAATAAATTGCTGTAATTTTATTTTTGAAAAATAATTTGTCATCTTTCAAAAGAAATACTGTAAAATTTAGAAACTCTAGCAAAATCAACACAAACTACGTTTTCCTTTTTCACATCTCTAGATCCTTGTTAAGATCAAACTTTATTCACTTTCTTTTTTATTATTATTAATCATTTAGTAAAATAATATAGTCATATCACCATTAATTTTATAGTTTTTTTGATGTAATTTTTAAATATATAATTTTTATTTTTTACTTCTACATCATTTTTCATATAAAATAATTTGAAAATAATTTCAATCAAACATCATAAACTAAAAAATACGATTTAAATTGGGACAGAGGAAGTACTTCGCAGCTCTAAAATTCAGATCATTTTTATTATTTCCCTTGGGCGTTCGTAAGTTCACAAGTAATATAAATCCTTGAACATCAATACACACTCGTTTCATAAAAAATACAACTAAAAATAAATAGCTATATGGAAAAATGGAACAAACATTTTGGGACAGAGGAAATATAACTTCACAAATTTGTAAGATTTTACAATTCACCACACCCCTCCAATCCTATGCAGTAAAAAGATAAAAGATAGAACATATCCCAATTCTCAAAAACAATTTCTCTATAGAAAACCCATGTTGCCTGAAAAAATGTTCTGTATAATCTACCTCCTACAACTATAAAGTATGGCACAGCCAATCATCAATGCAGGTGAAGTTAAACAATATATAAACAGCCCCCATCATCATAGGGAGGAGAAAGAGGGAAAAAAAATCAAAACAAACTTTAAATCGGTCCCCTGCAGATGGGGAGCGTGAATAAGAAATCAGCGGAGTTGAATTCATGTCAAAATAGTTTCTAACCAATCTGATGTAAATTCATAAGCAGCGAATGTCACCGCACCTGCGGGTGCAGCTTTAACGATTGATGGAACTATGCCTTTGTAGAGCCCTCCCCATCCTTCTTGGGTTAAAATCCGTTTGAGAGCATCATACATGTTTTTGTATGCGTTTAGCTCGATTCGAGCACCATATCTTGGATGCCTCTGTAGTCCTTCAATCTGCAACGATATAGTAAAAACGTCCATAATGAGTTGTGTGTGAAAGTTGGAAAACATAGCAAATTTTGGGAATGGGTAACGTTCACAAACACAAAATGAACATAGTTCATGTGTTTTTAAATCCAACTCCTTTTTTACCCATAGCCTTGATAAAACCAGTCGGTCATGTTCCACGACACGCGTGTTAATCACCATCCATTCACATAATCATTATCACCATCGCTTAATTCTAATTGCGGGCTCAGGGAATGAATTTAGTGTCAACTAATTTTGAAAATGAGAGAATGGAAGATGAATTGGGAGAGAATTTGCTAGGGTTGTTCAGACAATTGCATAGAAAGCATAGCGACGCATCAATGAGAAGATTTAAGGACTGGAGAAATGAATTTTGCAAAAATGGAAGACAGACCCAAAAAGACTTGGGGGTGTGATTAGGAGTGTTTTGCCATGTCTGAATTGGGACAAGAATATGAATATGGATAGAAACAAATGGCGAGAGAGCATTTTTATTAATGACCGAGCATAATCTCCTCTTGCACAAATGTAAGGTAAGGTTTGCCTACATTACCCACAGAAGAGGTGCACCCTTCCCAGACCCTTGCTAAGCTTTGAGCACCGTGCTTCACTTTTTAATGTTGCAGTGAGAGAAGACTAACCATCTACATTCATATCAATCTCATGAGCCATGATACTACAGGTGTTATGCCACCAGCCCCAACAAAGTTAGGTTTGGTGGTGGTGGTGGTGACTGGTGAGTGGTGAGACTCATTCAACGGGTGTTATACTAGTGGGAACTTCACTTGCCTGAAACCTCTTCTTAACTACATCAAGGGGATGACAGACAACTTTTGCACATGCTCCAGCTGCTAAACCGCATAGGAAAAGCTGGAAGCGTGAAAGTGATTCATCATTGTTGCTTGTATTTGATGATCTGAGACTGTTCCAAGCCTAAAAATTGCATACAACAGAAATCAATAAAAAGTTGCATAATTAGGTAAACTCAATTTTAATCATTAGGTATACAAAAATTTGGGAGGAAAACAAAAAAGCTAAACTCAATTTTAATGAAATTATTTTAGATTTTTAATCAAACTAAATAATATTTCATTTCGTTTCAAAAAAATCATTTTAGTAATACAAAAACCGAAACCTAAATATATGTTAAGTTCCAATGCAAGTTAGTCGTATTTGTTTCTTTCTTTTTTCAAACAGTCGTATTTGATTCTTATTTGCATTTTCTAAGATCAAACCAAACATAAGAAAATAACTTTCAAAACCTTTTTTACTAGCCTGAGCATTTACCGAGCTTTACGCATACCCTTAGCCCCTTACTGTTCTATGAAAGTTTAGGGCTGAAGAAGGAAAAGAACTTACAAATGTCCAGCGCTTGAACGTGTCATATGTGCCAAACTGTAGGCCAGCATAAGGAACAATTTCCACTAGAGTAGGACTTAATCCAGAATACAGACCACGGATACCACGAGTTTGAATTATATCAACAAAAGCAGACCTTAGATTTGGGTAAATCTGCATGTGGACAACCTATCTGAGTCTTCAAAAAATCATGTGAAAATTTTGAGCTACAAACATCTTGGACGAATAAGCATTTTGCTTTTCTTTTTAGGAAACAATTAAATTACTACTTTGTGTCTTTAGGAACATTACTATTTACTACATGACATTCACGATATTAAAAACATTGCCTTCGGCTCCCCTTGCGAAGCTAAAATGGTTCTTAGCAGATCAAATGGATATGATCCAACTGTAGCTGCACATCCTGCTAATGCCCCACTGATGTATGAAAGGTATGGACTCAAATAGATATGGTCTTCTGCAACAAGAGAAACAGCCACTATAGTGTAAGGTACAACAATGTTGTGATAAAGTAAAGATTTTATTAGAACTGGTTTCATCATAGATTACTCAAAATATATCTATACACACACACACACACACATGACATTTATTTGAGTCTCAATTATCGATTTTTTTAAATTACTCAATCATCTTGACATCTCCGCATTCAATGCATCACATTTAACTATAACCAATTAACAAGAACAACTGCAAGGGGCAACATCATATAAGGCAAATATAAACCCTATTACTCTATGGAACTGACGTAATGCTAGTACATGTAAGAGTTGGGTGGTAGGAAGAAAAAAATTACTAAATATGTAGCTTCCCCACAAGATATGAAGTATGACCACAAACCTGATTTTGAAGATCCAGAAGCAAAGGTTTTGAATTTGTGCAAGACTGTGAACTGTATGGCAGTATATGGCATTACCATAAGTAGGGCTGGAATGTTACCGCGCCAAAATCCCTGCAAACTAATTCTAAATTAGAAGGAAGTTCAATAAATACTCGATCATCTTTGATGAGAAACTAAAACTTTGATGGTGAAAAGAAGGGGAGACAGAAATAAGACTTTTGACATTTCATTTTGTACGATGGTTTGCTATGTTAAATGATGTTATGGTCATGATCAGTTCTATTGAATATTAGAATATAAGGGTCGAACAAGTAATGAGTGGTGTTAGAGCATAGAAGGTCACCCCCCTTTAGGAGCAAAAGAAAGAAGACATGAAAAAAAATGTATTGAATAAAGAATTAATGGTACTACAGTATATGAATTGATTCAAAATATGCTAAGAGTCCATCATTAGTCCATCGTATGTGTAATAGCTGTTACAAGGTGTTGTGAATGTGTTGTATACTTGTATGTGAGTTGCATGTATGTGGGGATAATATTTTAACACTTCTCTCACGCTAAAACATCTCAAATTTAAATCTTGGATAAGTACACATAAGGTGCATCTAGAGTAACATTGTCAGGTGGCTTTCAAAAACACATGTATACAAAGCTAGGGAATTAAGCTGTAAGTATCAAGAGACAGAGCTGAGAATAGGAAAATGGTGAGATGGGTATGCAGCAGCCAACGGATAACAGAAGTTTTTTGGCAAAAACATTTGAAGGAATATCACATAGTAATTGTGAGTTCTTCATATATTAATGCTCAGGGGAACACCATGCGCACAAAACTTGTGACTCTTGTGAGTTCTCCACATGAATACATCTCAAGGGAATAAAAACAAAATGCCAATGGACAGGATGAACACGATAGCCAGGTCAAAGATTTTCTATGGGAAACAAAGAGCATAACACTTTACAGGTGAAGAGTATTGGGCATCACATTAGCCTTCTAGCCAAGGCTAATGCTTCCCCTCAATATTCATTTGGGCGAACCATTTTGATTTTTGACTCAAACACACCATTAGTGTGTCCTCCTCTCTCTCCTTCCTTCTTTTAACCAGAGGAGGAGCCATGTAGGCTGATCTCCTTAAGGTTTTTCTATTTCAATTCAGCTTAGATTCCAAGCAGATGAAATCCTTCCCATTGCAATTCATAACCCTAAAGTTAATTATTGTTACCTAACTCACCTGCAGTGCATCACAAGGGTGCATCATTTGTCCCTGAGCATGCACACATGTCAGGCTCTTCTGGAGGGAGAGAGAGAGAGAGAGAGAGAGAGAGAGTGTGTGTGTGTGTGTGTGTGTGTGAGAGAGAGAGAGAATAGTGTACAATTGGATATGCAACATGAATTATTTCCTTCAGTTGTCACTAACAAATGGGTGAACCATAAATGCTGTAACACACATGGTTTATGGCTTTTCTGTGCGTAGTACACAAATGATCCTATCAAGGCCAGCAAAACATAGGATAAAAAAAGATATCCATGCTTAATCATTAAAACCTAGATGCTGATCTATGCATATCAGTGAACGAAACAGGAATAGAAATTCTATAAGATGTACATAAATCATTCCTACGCAGTTATGGAGTAAAAATACCGGCAAGCCTTCTTCTCTAAAGATATTTTTGGCCGCTTGCACCATCCCAGTGTACTTAGATGGCGAGTGTATGTTCTTGTGTAGCAAAGTCCACTGAACAGTAGGTTCTAATTGAACCTGGAAAATAACTGACATTATCAAAAAGGTCCACTAGCTTCAATTGAATCCATCAAATATCAATAGTCAAGACATGCATAAAAAACAAGAATGAAACTCATAACACACCAGAATTATGTGCAACTTGGTAGCATCCTCAGCAACATTACCTGAAATCTAATTTTAATTACATCAAGTGGTGATGTCACCGTCCTTGATATAGCACCAGAGATTGCCCCAGCCGTGGCATCAATAAATGCCCTTTTCAGTTGGCCTGGCTCTTCCATCTCCAGTATTACCTCACACTGCTACTACCTACATCCAGTGGCGGATCCAGGATTGTGAATGACTGGGGGCAGTATAACAAAGCGGGGGTTCGGGGGTAGAGCCCTCGATTTTTTTTAAATGTACTTTATATTATGATGAAAAAATTAATTTTATATCAAACAAATTTAAAATAAGAAAAACAAAATATTTTAAAATTAGTAAAATTATACTCCCACCGTCCCAATTTAAAGCGCCTGTTTCAGTTTACGATGTTTGACTGAAATTATTTTCAAATCCTTTTATATGGCAAATGGTATAGAGTTAAAAAATAAAAATTACATATCAAAATACTACATCAAAAGATCAACAAAATTAGTAGTGACAATAGTACTTTATTTTATCAAATTGCTAATGAAAATAGAGAAAGAAAGTGAATGAAGTTTGACCTTGTGAATAGTAAACATGCACTATATATTGGGACGAAGGGAGTAATACTAAATGAATTATGTTGTACGAAATTATTTAATATCACTAGAGGTTACAAATACTTTACTTAATGGGTTAATTAGTGGTCACTGGGGGCATTCTTTGTTTTTTGTTGGGGGCAGCTATACATAAAACAAAAATAAGTAAAAAAAACTTCTTTTTTTGACTGGGGGCAGTTGCCCCCATATGCTCCAAGGTAGATCCGCCCATGCCTACATCCGCATTTCAATACCCTCTATATGTTAAAAATTCAACTTTATCTTTCTGGGTTTATATTAACAAAAACGCTACATGCACACCACTTTGGTGTACACCACTGTGTTACCGACACACACTGACAACAAATATCTGTGTGTGCATAAACAACTGTTGTAATACATTGTGGTACATGTGGTGTACACCTTGCATAACCCTTCTGTTAAATATATCAGGTTTAGATATCCCAATACCCAAAGGAACCAGGCAAATTACTATTGGTTCTACTGTCCCAAACTATATGCATACATAAATACGTCATGAATCCGTAAGGCTTTAGTTGTCAACTTTTTCTTTTTGAGGCATCCGTGATTATCTGTTCACTTACCACATCTAGTAACCAAGTTATTGTCAATGATCGAACACATTCCCTGAAAAAGCATCCAAGCTAATTTCAAGGATTTTTTTGTTAACCTCAATCTTAAACTTTAAGGCATTTTGGAAATTGGACAACTAAATCCAAACGGGTACCCAAAAACCAATTGGCAATGGGAGGAGTAGGCCACAATCTTATAAACTCCTCCTTACTTTGCAATAATTGTCTCTATGTAACGGTTGTGGAATCTTTGTCCCAACATTCCCTCGACTGCAACTTGGATCTTTTTTCCTCAAGTTATTCTTCATTTTTTACATCTACTTGAACTTATGGCTCTGAAGCCATATGAAATCATGGGATTTCAATCCAAAACTAGATGACATTGAGAAGAGTAGGAAGCGATCTTATAAAATATCATTCCGGTCCATTTGTAGCCGACTTGGGATCTATATCCCAAAAGAGGGAGTGTATTTTACAATTTATATACAACAGTTTTGATGAATTTTTAATTGAAACAATCACTACGAGCTCTGTAAGGGAAAATTACTTTTTCGTTATACATGTAAATATGATACTAAGAATCAACTCAGCTCAAGAAATATGCAATAGACCAATGAATACAGGCATAAAACGATGAGCCATGAGATGAGATATCACCTGAAAGAAGAGAACTCGAAGAGAAAAACAGCCATTAACAATTCCAGATTTCAAAACGAGAATAACCGTGAAGTATTGACGTGTGTGCGCGGGCGCGTACGCGTGGTTAGGGTTTAGGCCGCGGGGAAGTTGAGCTCGCAGCTTAAAGGCGGCGGCCGGAAAGTAAGGAAAAGCAGGTTGGAAAATTGTACAGGTGATTTAGGAAAGCCGGAAATGGCCAAAAATCTCGGATGTACGGAGTAATTTTTAAATTAAATAAGGGGCAGTAGTAATTTGACCAGGTGATTTAATTATTATTTTTTTGTCAAAGGATGAATTTAAAATTAAGCAAGGGGTTGTAGTAATTTGACCAGCCCGTTTCACGCTTCTTCTTGGCGTGTTGTGGAAAGTAGAAACAAAGGTTGGGTACTTGGGTTTTTTCATTGGGCCCATTCCGTTGTCATTTACTCCTTTGGTACAAATAAGATATTCTCGTTACATTTTGAATTTAAACAACTTAATTATAAAGGTAAAATTTAAAAAAAAAATTTATTACCTCTATCTCACTGTCTTTGTTCAGTTTTGACTTTTGGAACTGTTCATTTAAACACTTTGACTCATCAAATTCTCTCGATGTGTAAACCTAAAAATAGTCATGTGTGATCTTGTTTGATTCGTCTTAACATATAGATTATTAATATATAACGTTTATAATTTTTTAGTATACAAATTACAAGATAAAATGGAATAGAGAAGTACATTGGATGGTGTGCCAAAAAGTAAGTGGACAAAGACAGTGGGACGGAGGGAGTATATTGTACGGAGTAAAAAAAATCATAAAAGGTTCTACAAAAATGAGGTGACAAGATATTGCCCTTTATTCGAAGAACAACAAGTGGAATTTATGAATTTCGTGCCATTTTATGATATAATTAATAATACATTCAAGTTTTGCCTTGAACTGTGTTTCTGTCGTGGACAAGAAATGTGATATAGCAGTTTTGACTTGCTCTTTCTCATACAGAAGTTGTGTCCAAGTATTCCTAGTGTGGTCATCAATTATTGTTAAGAAAAACTTGGTTCGTGTAATATTATGTTTTGTGTATGGCCCCCACAGATCCAAATGTATTAGTTTAAAAGGCACATCAGTGAAAGAAGTACTTTCATTAAAAGCAAGTCTGTAAAACTTTGCTAGCATACAGGTACCACAACTGAAATTGTTGGACAAATAGTCCTTACAATCAGAAATGTGTCTCATTTTGGACAAGGAACTATGACATAGTCAAATTTACAAGATTTAGTTGTCAATGTAGGTGGACTTTGTTCTTCAGAAGCTTTATGCTTCACCTTCAACCTGTACAAGCTAGACTTTCTTGAGCCAACAACCATGATTTGCTTAGTCAAATAGTCCTAGAAATTTATCACGTAGAAAAATCATATTAAGGTTATGCTTGTCTATGAGTTTGCTAACTGAGATGAGACTGAACTTCAAGTCTGGTATACATAGAACATCAGTCAACACCAAACTAGGGATTAGCATCACATTTCCAGCCCTAGTCACAGTTTTATGATTCCCATCTAGTAATGTTGCTTTGATAGGAACTTGGAGAGTATATATATCTCAAAAGATATGTTCAAAAGGAGTCATGTGGTCTAAGGCTCTGGTATCTATAATCTAATTGACTTCATTTTCATTGTCCACACAATCTGCTCCAGTTTCATATACGCTCATAGCATAAGAAGTCATAGAAAAACGTTTACCTGCAAAGTGAGCATATGTACCAAATAGAGTGGAGTTTGATCTATGGTTGTTCTTATCACCCATTATTTTCACCATTTATTGGGCTAAGCTTCTGACAAGAGCATTGTTAATCTGAAAACCATGCCATTCACTGTGGTTTTGAGTTGCATCAAGTGAAGTCTTTGTGTGATCATCTTAAATCATGATGTCTCTAGCAAATTTCCTCCCTCCATATGTATTTTGTCCTTTCTTCTCCTTGTGTGATCATCTTAAATCATGATGTCTCTAGCAAATTTCTTCAGTTTTGAAGCCAACGGTTACCTACCCATCGATGGGTAGATGCTTCCCATCGCTGGGTGGGAGGTTGACTTTCAAATAAGAAAAAGAATCAGCCTTAAATGACTCGCAACGGTCATGCCTAACCATCAATGGTTAAGCCTTCCCATCGCTGGGTTCCCATCGATGGGTAAAGCTTCTCATCCCTGGGTAAGGGCATTCTGCCTTGTGGTAATGTTGCACCAAGGCTTTAACAGCGATGGGTAGAACTTTCCATCGCTGTTTGGCATGGTTCTGGAAATCAGTTTCGTTGAGGGACTTCTTACCCATCGATGGGAAGATCTTCCCATCGCTGGGTGGCATGATTCTGGAATCCCGGGATCACTTACCCATGCATGGGTGAAATCTACCATCGCTGGGTAGATGGCTAGCCCAGAACCATGGTCTAACCGACCGGCACTGAAACCCGACCGAAAAATGTAAAGTTCTCCAAAGTAAAAACTAAGTGTTTAAAACACTTATTTAATGTATTTTGATGTCAAAATAAGCTTTGTATGTTGAAAACCACGTCGTTAAGGTAAAAACCACGAATGACCAAGTCAATGCCGTACACGGGTGGTTTTTACCAAAAGACAAACCAAAAGGTGGTTTTCATGATGTTTTGATTGGAGAACCATTTAAATGCATTCAAAAACAATTCCTACACAAAAAGACTTGAAAACCACTTCATTTAAGTAAAAACCACGGCTAGCCAAGTTTATGCCGTTTCGCATGGTTTTTATCAAACGACAAAAAACGAAAGGTGGTTTTTGAAGTGTTTTTGATGGAAAACTATTTAAATGTGCCCAGAAATAAAAACCAATCATAAAAAGTTGAAAACCACTTGGTTAGTTTGGACGCCAAAAACCAACGCCGAAAACCGAATGCCGAACGCCGGTTTCTAAAACCCGAACGCCGGATGGCTTGGTTTTTGGTTTGGGCGAACACCAAGTGTTTTTAATGTTTTAAACATGTTTGAAAAACATTTTTATGATGTGAAATGCAATGAAAAGAATTTTAGCCTAAAGAGCCAAGGTGTAAAGATTGGGTCGGTCTTGATCACAATTGTGACCGACTCAACGACACTAAGACTACGGTCTTCGTTCTTGGTCTTCTTTTGTCCCTTGTTCTCTTTCTTCTCATCTTTGGTTCTCGCCTTGTATATTCAATGACTTGTCTCGTTCACGGCGGTTTGGCATTATCAAAACCTGTCATAACAACGAACACGGCTTTAGTACGAAAACGTGATAAACCCGTGTTTCAACA